GCAGCCGGGCTGGCCCCTCCGCGGTCGCACGCGATTTCTCGCGGACCACACTAAAGGGTTCAGAGACCTGCAACTTCCTGGACCTGCAACATCTGACTTTTTAAGCCTAAGGCATCCCGGGACCTACTCCAAACTCACCCGAGCCCTCGAAACTCCAACCCAAGTATACACACAACCTCAAAAATATCCTACGGACATATTCGTGTAATCAAATTACCAAAATAACATCACGAGCATCGAATTAAACCTCGAGATCAATGAAATTTCTCAAAACTCTTTTAAAATCAAATTTCTCAATTAAGGTCCGGATCGCATCAAACGACGTCCGTTTTTAACCAAATTTCACAAGAATGACTCAAGTCATATATAAGACCTGTACCGGGCGCCGGATCCAAAATACGGGCCTGATATCATTGCTTTCTAATCAGTTTTCATTTCAAATTTCCTTAAACAATTTCTGAAAACAATTTCACTTAAAAACTCATTTCTCGGGCTTGGGACCTCGGAATTCGATTCTGGGCATACGCCCAAGTCCCATATTTTCCTACGGACCCTCCGGGACCGTCGAATCACGGATTCGGGTCTGTTTACCCAAAATTGACCGAAGTCAAATTTATTCATTTTAACATCAAAACTTAGCATTTTTCACAGAGTTTCATATTTAAGCTTTCCAGCTACGCGCTCGAACTGCGCACGCAAATCGAAGCGACTCTAATAAGGTTTTTATAGCCTCGGAGATACGGAAATCAACTTAAAGCAAGTGATGACCCTTTCGGTCATCACAAAAATCCTTTCCTTGTACTTTTCCTTCTATTTTTAGCACTAATTTACACTTATTTCTTGGTTTCAAATCTCCCAAAAGGCACACCAAGAATACTTGCTCTTGCACCTGTTTTTTACCTTTTGTATTTTTTTCCTTGGTGCTTCTCATTTGCATTCCTTAGAGCTATTTTGTCTTTCTTCCTAACTAGGATTACTTCTTTCAAACTTATCCTCTTCTGTTTCAATAGAGGTCCTCTTTCAAATTGCAAAAAATCCATTGACTTTATACTCATATCCATTTTTCCACTCAAAATTAATACAGTAAATTGAAAGTATGAGGTAGAGGAGATTTTTAAGCAGCTATATTTAGCTACATCTTTTCAAGATTTCTGGGGTAGAAGATGGAATCGTTATTCATCAAAAATGTTGAGGTTAGCTATCTATGATCCAATTCTTGAAACCTTACTCAAGAGTAGTAGTATTTTTTTTTGTTGGTGATGAAAATACACCAAAAATATTGCCAACTGTGAATACTTTTGTGGTATCTGCTATAATGCACGAGCTCATTTTTTACTATATTACATGTGGTTTAAAACCTTCATGTGAAGTCATGTGGTTCTTTGTGTTGCAAGGGTTTTGCATCTCTAGTGAAAGAATGTTCCAGGCAAGGAATTGGGTTATCATGGATCCAACATTTTCCATAATACTAAAACGTCTCTTCATTGTTTTTTCATTCTATTTTTTGCACTTTTTACCAGTGATGAGGCAAGGAAGTAGTAGATGTGAATGAAATCACGAACCAACTAGTGTTGGAAAATAATACTACTGCATAGATAGATTATTATTTTTTTATACGTGCAATTTATGATAAATTTCTTTTGTCTTTTTATTTGTTTATTTCTTTATGTTTTGACTTTCCTCGATGAAAATTCTTATTTTACCATTCACGTGCAGGGGTAATAAACTGGTTAAAAGAAAATAGCTAATCACCGATATTATCCACTAAAAAATGGGTTGGATAATGAACTTTTTGAAAACGGGTCAAATATGGATAAGAACTATATTATCAACCAATAGGCAACCAATAGATAACCAATGAGTCAAACTTTTATATTTGTAAAGCCTCAAATTGGGGGTTCCTCAAGTTAGGGAGACTAAGAATTCTCCCAAAAGTGATCATATGCAAGAATTCATGGATAATATGGTTACCCATATTATCCGACGGTTAACCCATTTTTATCCGTATTAACTATGGGTCGGACGGATAATTGATCCGTTTTTTCTTTATCCGTTTTGACCCGAACAATATCTGACCCGACCCGCCCATTTGCGCCACCCCTATTCATGTGTAAAGTAGTGAGCTGTAAGATTGATGTCGCCCACGAGAATTATTATTGTGGGAAGTTTTAATAAGATGATCCTGTCGGTGACGCTTTGCAGAGATTTCCTTATCTATCGAGTATGTAAATATTTTTTTTAATAGTACTATATATACACAAGTCGCAATATATAAGCACCATTTGAAAATATTAATAAAAACTAAATAGTGTATCAATTTAGGACGCAAAATAAAGCCATGTGACCACCACAATCATGGACTCAAAATCATTTATCCAACATTTTGCATAGACCGCTGTTTGCAAAGGCCATAATAAGATAATAAAACAAAAAGAATGTGGAAGTCGATACTCACGTCAAGTACCCCAAAATCAGAACTTATTACAGATTAAGGAGCGTCTCCCTTTTTAATGGCGTTTTCACAGCTAATTTGGATTAGCCTAATCCAAAGCAGATAGCGAATACCGAATACTGCTGAGTGAGAATCAAGAAGTTTTATTTTGTGTCTCATACAATTTACACTAATTGCATGAGGAACCTTTTTGTTTCACAAATTTGTGGACCCCAATCTTATACTTCTGGGTCCACAGAAATCTGAGTCCACAAAACTGTGAGACAAAAAAGGTGCCTCGTACAACTAGTGTCAGTTCGAAGCATCGCACATATTCTTATCCAACAACCGCTGGAGGTGTCAATACATGAGGGCCCGACCCAGCCTAGCCAGCTCACACGGGCTTTGGCATTTGACGGGCTGAGTTGGGATGGCCCACTATTTTCATGGACCGTAAAATGGTCAGTTCTATGTGTAAAAATAGCACGGTCTAGCCAGTTTTCGGACTGGTCATTCAAAAATAGCCAGCGTTTACCAAGTCAATGAAAAATAGCCACTATTTTGCTGCAACAGAGACCGGTCCAGCATAATATACTGGAGTTCCGTGCATTTGTGTATAAACTTTCAGCATATTATGCTGGACTAGTATACTTTGCTGGCTCCAGTATATTATGTTGGACCGGTATATTATACTAGAACTCCAGTATATAAGACTGGAGTTCCAGTATAATATACTGGAGTTATACTGGAACTCCAGTATATTATGCTGAAGTATTTTTCCGGATTTTGAACAGTATTTTCGTTCAGATTTATCGTTACATGAAAAGTGGCTAAATTTCGATTACTTTTGAAACTGAGTTATTTTTGAACGACCACTTATAAATCTGGCTATTTTTGAATTTGTCTCGTCTTACGTGGGTTACGGGCCCCCACAAGCTGGCTCACCAATAATTTATAAGAGAAAATACATAACGTACCCATTCAACTTGTGAGCGAAAATTATTTACACACCTAAACTTTATGGGCGACCTTTTACCCTCTTATTCTAATCTTAAGTGAATTTAATACCTTATTAAGTGAGGACCTGGCAAGAAAAGTGAAGTTCATTTCCTAGATGCGTGTGAGGCACAAAACACAACCTAAAACTAATTTAATTGTTGAGGTGTCACTTTCCTATTGGATACTCTAACTAATTAAACTTAATAATTTTTCTCTTTTCTTATTTATTTTTCATTTCTTTTTCTCTTTCTTCATTTTAACAGAACTATGGTTCTCCACTGGCCTGCTTTTATCATCTCGTGCCATCCTCTTCCTCCCCATGCTTTGAAACTAGTTGAAACTAGTCATGTTTTATTTTTGCTTCTCTGTTTTTTTTTGTTGAATCTCTATTCCCACTTCTCTTTTTCCTCCGCCATATTCACCAATCTTTACAAATTCTATTTCATTGCTCATATTTTCTCCCTTTAATCTCCTCGATTTGATAGAAATATAAGTTCTATTAAGCAAATGGATCATGGGTTTATGTTGGAATTATTTTAATACTTGATTGGAGAGTTTGATGTTCGCCAATACCATTTTTTGTACAAGAAATTTTCTCTCCTTTTCTCTTCGATCTAGGTGTGTGAGATAATGTGAAGGAAAAATGGTCAAATTAGAGGTATTAAAGTGAAGTGGTGGGGGGAGGTGATTTTGATTTTTCAGAAATAGAGTTTATGGGTTAAAGAGAAGTTATGGCTATGACTGCCTACCATGGTGGCGGACTGCAAGAATAATGATGAAGGAAGGTGGAGAAGATGAATGAAACAAACAGTGGAAAAAGTATTAACAAAAATAAAATAGTGCAGTATTTAATACGTGGCACGTGTTAAACATCTTTGTTTTCATCTAAATCTATTGTTATATGTAATATTAATTAGTTAAACATTAAAATATAACTAAAATTTTACGAACAAAAAATATTTATATTCACATAAAAAATATTAGATCAGTTTGAGATTGGGGTACTTTTCTTATTATTTTTAGTTTCTTATATAATGTTAATTAAATATGTTATTAAGCTTACAGGCCGGCTCAGCACAGTATCAATCAAGCTTCATGGGCCACGAGGCTTACTTGGGCCGAGCTTAAAAGTCTTTCTTGCAAATAGGGTCCAAACATCTTACGGTCTGAGTTGAACTGACCCAACGAGCCATGTCCATATTCACAACTCTAACAACAGTAAGAAAAACATATATAGAGAGGCAAAAAATGATCTACACGCAAGTGTGAAAAAAGAATCTAACATTTTTCTTATTTAAATAGGACTCAGAACCGTCATTCCCGTGCAATTCTTTCACTAAACCGCAGTAATATTTTCACTTAGTTACTGATATTTCAGCTGTCGGGACTTGTACAAGAAGCTTGGTGAGTGGTAACTTAGAAGGGGGCTGCTAAGTGGTTGCAAAATTTTGAGAATTGATAAATATACCCCCGGAAAATTTTAAATGTGAGTTTAGTTAATAGTAGATTTAATATGTTGAAGTTTCTATTTTTCACTATTGGTCCTCCTCGTTCACGTATTCAAAAGAGGGGAGGGTATATGAGCCCGTTTGGATGAGCTTATTTTAAGTAGCTTTTAAGCCATAAGTTAGAATTTTTAATTTTTGACTTTTGGCTTGTTTTTGTCATTTTAACTTACAAATAAGTGCTTAAGAGCATTTTTTTATATTTTATCCAAACACTACAAAATGGCTTAAAAGATATTTTGGTTTAAAAGTACTTAAAATAAGTCAATCCAAACGGGCTCTATGTATTGAACTATTGATTGAACTAGCTGCTCCTTTTAAGCTTATTTGAGTGGAACTACTCTATTAGCTCTTCATTAGCTTCGTTTTCTTTACTGAATTTACTCTGATTATTGCGAAATCACATCAGCTACGTTTAGATGCTTAAATGCAATAAAATCCATCGTTTTTGTTTTAACATGATTAAACATTGATCTTGTTTGACTTACTATATTTGACTAGTAGCTACGCATTTGAGTATGTCGATATCTTAGTTATTGATTGTTGTATAGCAACGAGCAGTACATGTGACGAAATCCGCGTAGGAGAACATAATTGTTTGACTCAAAAGATATTAAAACTTTTGGAACAAATCAATCAAAGATGAAGGGTAAATCTTGGTCAAACATAATCAATTCCAGATCAAAATGTTAACAACAACGATTGCATATGGGATGAAAGAGATATGATTGATCTTATTAAGATTCGACATTGTCTTCCTCATCGATCGATGAGGAAGTAGATTTACATATTTTCTCCGAGGTCATTTCCTCTTTTTTTTTTCTAGAATACAAGAAGGGAGCTTTTTGTCTTCCTTTTTTAGAAATTGGAGCAGCCTCCCCAGTTGAGAGCTTTCCCTGGCTATATATAGTCAGGGTATCCTTGCCCTTTGCTTGACTCGACGTCTTCTTGCCACTAATGTGTCTTGGTCATGATTTTAGGCGTCACTCTTACCGATTCATCGGATGTCATGGAGGACAAATCGAGTAGGCTCTGTTGACCTTCACTGCCCAGTTACTGGGATGGGGTGTCGGTTGACTTGATCGTGATGGTCAGATTTTGGCCAATACAGTTAGTCCCTCCGTCTGCCGGGATCGTCCTATGTCGGACTCGGCAGACGGATCATGTTCGTTACGACTTCAAGAGAAATCTGACCCACGACTTTCCGTTCCTTAGTCACATTTTGTGGGTTTTTTACGGAGTGACGGCGTTCTTTCGATCCTCATGGACCGTTGCAGCGGTTTCAGAAAAAATGTCGTTTGGTATTGAAGTGTTGGTTCTTGGTTATCACTATTATGACACACGTTTCTGGGGAACTAAAACATTTCGTGCCCTATCAGATTCGATAGGTGACTCTTGGATTTCGTGTTGGGGAGATTTATGTCTCTTATAAATAGGTGAAGTTTATCATTCGATTGACACACTTCTTCATCTTTTGCTCGGGAGAATTCTACAGATATATCTTTTTTTTCTTCTGATACCTCGAATTTCTTCTTATCCTCTTGTTCACTGAAATCTTTCATCTCTCCTTTTTATTACTTCTTTGGTGCATTTTCTGCTAAAAATGGCTGGTGATTCTTCTCTCGACAATCTCCCTGCCGTTAATCCGGTACAGGAAAGTTCTGCTCAGGTCGCCGGAGGGGCAGATGCGGCGGAGGATGAGGAGGTTACCTTAGTGGTTGAGATCTTGCCTCGCCTCGGGAGAGAGGTGACCGACTTCAGTATTAGCGGCAGGGTGGAACCGGAACCTGTCCCCTCCGTCATGAGGGAAAGGGGGATCGTAGAGTTGAAAGAAAGGTGGGGAATCCCCAATTACATTGATATGCGGTTGGTGGAAGGGGACGACATAGTTCACTTCGACCGTCCCAGGTACTGCGTGTTCTACGCCTACCCCTTCATTGTAGGGTACACACTTCCTCTTCCCCTATTGTTGGTGGATTTTTGCCATTTCTACGAAGTGTGCCCCGCCCAACTTTCGCCATATTTGTACAAGTTATTCCTTATGCTACTCAAGTATGCGAAACTCGCCGGTCGTGAGGTCATTTTGGACCATATACTCAGCATCTTTTCTCCTCAACTTATTCGCGGTTTGATGATTCACATTCGTCCTCGGGGGTCGAGGAGTCTGGTGGTGAAGATGGATGACAGGACCAACCATTGTTTCTACGAGAATTATTTTTATGTGCGGACTAAAATATTGTGGCGGACCCAACGGGATTCCTTGAGAGATGGAACTTCGCACGTAAGTTTGTATTTTTAGTCAGTGAAATGTTCGACCGTTTTCTACGAGTACTAAACTTTATCTCATCTTTGTAGCTAAGAGATTGCCCCCTCTGCCTATCGAAGGTATCCGTGAATGGGTGGAAGCCATACTTCCCTATACAGTGGGGATTCGCACATGGTCGACCTTTCATGAGAGGTTCGGACGCAGGCCTCATACAGGTAAGATGATGCCTTTGCCTACTGGTCTTTCGCTTTCTTTTTTTTGTTGAGCCTCTTATGCGTCGTTTGTCGTTGCCAGGGAGAGTGCAAAGAGCGAGGGCTCCTCCGTTAGCTTTTGCCAGCCAGCTGCATCTGCTCACCCTATCGCAGTACCCATTGCTCGACCTTCATCTAAGGCTGCTTTAATTGAGTCTGCGGCCTTGGTTACTCCTGCGAGAGCCGCTTCTCAGGATGAGGCCCCGACCGATGTCATTCGCCTGACGGGTGAGTCACCATTTACGGGAGAGGAGGAGGAGCCATCAAAGAGACGGAGAGTAGAACTTGAGACGATGCCCCCAACAGTAAATCATCTGGACGACTCTCGCTCGGCGGGCTCTGGAGAAGGTGTTATTATAGCTCCCCCCGTAGGGACGGAGTAGGCCGTCGGGATTGTCGGCATCCGTGATCGGCAATCAGAAACCCCTGCCGCCCTCTTTGCCAACAACCTGCCGTGGTGGAGAATCAGACTTCTGAGTCTGTTGTCGTGACTTCAGACGTGCCCTCATCTTCTGTAGCGGGCAGTGCTTCCTCTTCAGCAGCAGAGAGGGGAAAAGGCGTGGTGATTGACGACTATGAATTTGAGTCAGACCTGGACCCCGACGATGTTAGGATGTTTGAGGAGGGTCTTACTCATTCGGTAGTTAATGCAGGGGGCCCCGCCCGTATTCTTTTGATCCCTTCCAGCATTAATCTCTTGGTGGAAGGGGAGGACCTGGTACCGCAATTCAGGCTATTATGCTCCGAAGCTGAGAATGAGTCCTTACGGTCTGTTCCCCGATGTTGAGTTGATGGACGAGGTGGTCGTCATGGGCTTAAGGGTACGTTACATTTTGTTTTCGCTTTATGCTTTCGCCCGAAAGTACTAGTTTAACCCTATCTTTATGTTTTCCAGACATATATGGTGGAAGTGGAAAGCATTCGCATCGCCAACATCCGGGCAAGGATTTTCTTGAACATGCTGGAGAAATATCGTCGCTACCACGATAGGTGTCGCAACATGAGCGGCTGAGGACGGACCCCCGCAATCGGGCTCTTGGTGAGAAGCTGGAGAGAAGGGACCAGGAATTGATGCAGACCATCCGCAACAAGAGCGCACTCGGGGAGCAATTTCGAATTAAGGACGAGGAGCTCGAGTTGGGTAAGGGGGTCGCAGCGGAATATGAGCATCTGCAAGGTAGGTTGAGGTCGATGCAATCGGAGATGGACCAAAACTTGGTCAAGGTCGAGGCGATGAGCATGGAGTGGATGAGAAAATTGAAGGCGATGGAGAGCATTGAGAGTGCCTGGTCCGAGGCTTTGGCGAGGGCGACGGACTTGGAGAACACCATCCGCGTCCTCCAATCCGAACAGTAGTCGGAGAGAGCAACAGCTACCCTCAGGGAGGCGAGGCTCGAGGAGCGCATCAATGTATTTGATTAGGAGGCATCGGTTCTAGGAGATCGGGTCGCGGCTCTGGAGGCAGAAAATAAGCAATTATTGGCTCAGGTTGAGTCATCATCCGCTGTCGTTCCCCGCCAAATGCATGAGCTCTGGGTTTATGCTAAAGCCCAGTGGGATATATACAAGAGTTTGTAAGAGGCGGGCATCGTGGCTGAGGCTGCTTATGAAGAAGCGCGAGCGAAAGCACGGGATGCTCACATCAATTGTGGGTATGACGATGTGTCGCCCGAAGCTAACGGGGATACGGATGGTGGTAATGGAGAACCTCTTGGAGACGGTGATGATGGTGGTGATAGTGATGGTGCTGGTAACGGTGGTGATAATGCCAAATGAGGAATGTTGTCCTCTGTTTTCATTTTCAGTTGTTTGTCAATTGTCGTTCGTTCGTGTTTTTTTTTTGTGTTGGCTTGGACCATATGTAAGCGGCGATAACCCGCACTGTGACTTTGTATAAATGAGAGTTCTTTTCTTCGCTATATGTCTTGTACTTCACTTTTATTCCATTCATTTATGGCTTTTGGTGCGAGATAGACGTCCATACGACGAATCCCGGTTTTTCTTTCCTTTTGATGGTTTTCGGCCTTAGAAATATTTCGAACTAATCGAAATAGTGCCTAGTCATTACTGGACTGAGATTGAAACCTACTCTATTTTTGGCGAAGG